ATGTGTTGCATCCCTGCTAAAATCTTAAAATACCAGAAAATGAAACAGAAGCTTAAGTGCAAAAATCATTGTTTCTCCAGTTATAGTACCACAAAAAAGTGTTTGCCCCCATCTGATTTCTTAGTTTGTTGCATATTTGTCACAGTTATATTTTATATGTTTCAGATTATCTAACATATTCTAATATTAGACAAAGACAACCTGAATAAATACAAAATGCAGCTTTTAAATTGTAATTTCATTGTTCAATTGTCCCCTAAGCCTCATAATTGGCTTTGCCACCCTTGGCAACAACGACTGCAATGAACATTTGTGATCACTGCAATGAGTTTTTCACTTTGCTCTGGAGGAATTTTGGCTCACTCATGTTTGCAGGATGAATTAATAAAGCCACACTGGAGGGTTTTCAAGCATGAATGGCCAGTTTAAGGTCATGCTAAAGAATATTTCACTATGACACTCCAACACCATTATTTTGGAGTTTTTTAAACCAATCAGAGGTGGACTTGCTGGTGTTTTGGATCACTGTCCTTCTTTTCAGCTCAACTCTGTTTGAGGTTTAGGGCATGAACTGTTGGCCAGACGTTCTCCTTGAGCATTTCTGGTAAAGAGATGGTTCCATCAGTTACAGAAAGTCGTGCTGAAGCAGCAAAGCAGCCCCAGACCATCACACTATGCCCACTTATGACTGCTGGTTTGATGTTCTTCCAAAAAAGTCAACCTTTGTCTCATCAGTGCCAGAATACTTTCCCAAAAGTCTTTACCTTTTTTTTTTTTACTTACTCCCAAAGTAATTTGCCCTGCGATGTCCCACGCTTTGCCCACAATGAGTCAGTTGGGGTCACATTATAAAATGATTAAGACTTTTTCAAATGTTTGACTCAGCCTGGTGTGGTTTGACAAGCAAAGTCATAATCTGAACGATGGCCTTCACGACTTGCCTATGCTTTTTAAAAAAGCATAGGCAAGCACTTTACTGCAGAGTGAGATGCTAAAGAGTTGAGAAACATGAGAAATATCCCATGAAATGTGCTTAATAGCAGGTTGCTTCAGTTTAGTAACACTTCTATGACATGTTTCATCTACATGGTATAAACGGTACTTCTGCTGATGTTTGACACCCATGTGTAAATGATTTATCTCTGCAGGATGGTGTTTAATGCAATGAAGAAAACTATGACAAGTGCAGAAAACAACAATAAGAGCAGGACATGTTTTCTAGTCAGGGTTGCTCACTTACCCTCTTGACCAGAGGTATTTAGATGCTCCAACAGATCACATCCAAACACCTTCTCTTTGTTGCCCCCTTTTCTTCGAACTCTCCTCATCTCTTCCTGTCTTCTCTTTTCACCTCACATTCAGACTGGTCCCCTCTACCCTGCTGGTGACGGTCAGGTTCACTGACTGTCTGTTCTGGATGCGTTGACCAAAATGGTTAAAGTGACAATGACTCTGATAAAACGTTGCACATTTCAGAGATTTGACTGTGCTGCTGTTGCTTCTGTTTCCTTTGCTTCAGTGCATGTTGTTAGGTGCAGCTTGTTTCCTCTGTGAGCTGCGCTGCATTGGGGCTGTCACGTAAAATCGAGCGTTAGGACATACTTTGTTGTGTCTTCCTCCCTGCAAAAGCAGAAATGATAACGGTTTCGTTGTGGATATAGCAGTTTCACGTTTTAACAATGAACAATCTCACAGTCAAAATCAAACAAACTGCACTGAACGCTCGCCTTGCATATGACGCCTTCACTTCCCCCTGATGCACTCAATTTATTTTCGAATGAAAGGCCACACCCTTGCGTCTGTACTTCTCGTATTCACTGAAAAGAGCCCCTGAACGTTTCGCTCCAATCATGCTATAAGGTTTCTCCGAGGTGGTGGACCAACTTAAGCTTCTAATCTCCGCTCCTGCCTGAGGACTACGCTCACTACAGAGCCCGGTCTGTCCTCCCTGCCCTCATGTCAGGGCCATCGCGGCCCTGTTCTCATTTCAGCGGAAGTCGAGCACTGAACATATAGATTCACAGAGACGTTCAAACTCTCTCCCCACTCTCTCCATCTTCCTGACACCTGCCGCTGCTCTCCTATCATCCACCACCCTCCCAATCGGTCCACGTTTTTGGAAAGACTTTAAATGTGAGGAAACAAACAAATTAAAAAGCGAACACAAGTGTTCCTACCTTCACTCTGCATCGGCACACAAGTAGCAGCATAAAACGATGACGCAACAAACCACTAAACTTCCCCTGTTTAACTTCCTGAGTGTCTCTCCTTCTCTTGTGCTTTCTCTCTGTATTTGGCCCTCTGTTTCTCCGCCTCTGCTGAGTAGGGAAATCAGTTCATAGTATCTGTACAGTTCATCTATTTTCCTCACATGCGCTGCGTTTGTCTCTCTGTGGGCCGAGCTCCATCACCCTGACTGAAATAAGTAGATCTGAACGTACCTTAAAGATGAGGGATGAAATCTGATTACATTTTCTTCCATTTTAACAGTTTTACATCATTGCTACATATAAATATAAATATAAATATAAATATAAATATAAATATAAGTACCAGCAAAGTATCACATAGGGGCTCAAGAATTATCACCGGAGTTCCACACAGCTGTCATACAAAGATTCAGTATGTCAGTGAAATCATAAGATAAACTAAAGCTAGTCACACTGTGCCAATGAAGGAGAAGACAAACACATGAGCAAGAAAAGTAGTTCAGAAAACCACAAAGAATACGAATGCACCACAAAGTAACAAAAGAGTCACAAAGCACTGCAGAGAAAAATAAAAAGTCTAGTTGTTTGTGTGTGTGTGTGTGTGTGTGTGTGTGTGTGTGTGTGTGTGTGTGTGTGTGTGTGTG